CGCATCTCGATCTGCATGCACCACTCACACTCGCTGCACGCCGCCACGGTGCGTCCATCTTTTCTTGCTTGTTGCCACTCGCTAATCACCCTAAACCTGTCTCACAGGCGCAGCTCTCCCTTTAGGCCAGAACGCCCCGGGAATACACCCCTCAGTCAACGGTTCAGTTCACCGCACCTCCGATTGCGAAACGTAGTCAGAGTATGCAGTGTGCACGTACAGATGCAGCTCAAATTAGCTCATTCAACGCTCCGGATCTCAACCCCAGTGCACCACTCACACTCGCTACACGCCATCGCGGTTCATCCATCTCCTCAATCCAGTTACCCACTCACACTGACAATGCTCACGCCCACACTCTTAGCCAATCAATCTCACAAACTGTCTCACCCCTAATTGTTGTAGATATAATGTATTTATATAATGTTTCAATATAATTATAAACTGTTATTTCAATAACAAACGGATGTAAGGAAAAATGACTATTGGAAAGATACTAAAACAATTTAAGAGCTTTATAAACAATTATAATATTTGCCATACTCAACAAGGGTGATTTAACCTTGTAATTTTAGAGATCCATTGTAATACATTTTATATATTGTCAAGGAGAATAACTCTTATTTATGTTTACAAAATACACAAACCTTCCAGACTTTATAATGTCTTGTATCACTTTCTCAGAAACCGAGATCCGTTCTAAGTGTTTTTACTTTTTTTACTTTTTTCACTTATTTTATACCATTATAAGGTAATACAAGAATTTAGACTTTTTCCCGATGATAGTATTAAGATTAACTTCCAAATCCCTTGCGTCACAGAATTATCATAGTCAACCAAATCCTTTGGTTAATAAATTTCTCACTTTATCCTCTTTCCTCCACCTCACCCCTACTCTACTCATCTCTACACTTTCCACCACCATCGGTTATCTTGCTTAACGGAAAGCTCTCAGTAGACCAAGATCATTAGTGAATTCTAAAGATGGAATTACCTCTCTTATGACTCATAGACTTTATTACATGGTCTTTTGTAAACATTCCTCTTCGTAATAATGCATCGTGGCAAACTCCTTATCTGCAGTCGAAGCAGCCTTCCATCTATGGACAATTTCTCTATAATACCACTGTTGCAAGACTGAGAGGCTGCAGACAGACCTTGTTTCACTAACGACCTAAATGACTCTATGGATAGCAATCAACTACGGAGCATATTTGAAAATTTCCATTGTGTCTGTGCCTAATTGAACCAGATACCAAGGGAAATTTGAAGTATGCCGCTTACCCATTGTCTAGGGACTCAAGATTACCAGTGTAAAGAAATACACAGAGTCCTGCTGTGCTGTCACACTCTGCACGCACTGGAGCCCGAAATTTTACAGCAGGGACTCAGATAGCAGCTCCCGAGCTGACTCATGGTCATTCGCAGAATTGCTTTCGTCCGCTAGGTCGTCGCGTGGTAGCGGCTAGAGCATAATAGGTGAGACGAGAAACTGCATCCCATTGGACACACTAATAGGTCACCCAAAAGGCGATGAAGAATATACAAGTCCTCTTTATAACATGTCGAGAGACTTTGTTCCGCAAGTCGACGTCTTCAAGAAGATTTCCCTTGCTTGTAGAATCGTTCTCATGTGGATTTTGTCATCGAGACCCATTACGTGTCGCACCGCGAAGATCGACGAAGGTACCAAACGCTGCCGCTTGCAGCAGCTTCGTTAAGCGGCAATCTTTCCATCTGCCCGCTCTTCTCTACCGTTTTCTCTGGAATCCCCTGTTGCTGCTCCAAGCGTCTGCACATACCATTTCCGAAACCTTTGTCTGCTTTACTCACCATCGTGTCCTTTAGTATAATTTCAAAGTTGATTATCACTTGCCTGCATTGCTCCTAGCCGTTCTCGTAATTCCGTTTCTTTTATAACCACCATGTTGTAGGAATCTGATTCAGAGTTCAGAATGGATAGTTATCAAGTAGACTTCTCTATACCATGCTCACTGTTCCTATAGACTCAAAGAGGTCGTGATCAGTACTAGTCTGGTTTACAAGAAGGAGAATAGCGACGCCGATACGCCTTATAAATTCGACCACCAGTAAAGAGTGGCTCAAGGAAAATCCCGAGAAAATGGGGTATTTGACGCGATGAATATCGGATGACATCCAGTGAGCCGTCGATGGCATAAGGTAATTGGTGGCTCAGAGGAGCAACCATTGGTGAAGTTCGGATAATATTTTCGTCTTGTCCTCAGATCACTTGCACAATAAGTATGGATCCATCCCATGTCAGTGAAGTACTTATTGGGCTAGTTGATAGAATTGAGGCTCACAGCCCCATGTCGATAGCCCGAATCGATTTAAGCACCAGAGAGCTAAGTTGAAAACTTCCGACTAAACCGGTAGATAATGCAGAAAGATAAAACCTATTGTAGCGGTCGAGATCTTGACATTGATATTGTGCCAGCCACTAGAGAAAAAACGATGTTGACCTATCGAATATAAGTGCACCGGACCTTATAATATTGCCCAGCAATGAACACCTTTTCCGAGAGGCTCAATCTTATGCTGGTACACCATCATTGGATTAGGTTCATGAGAGGCTAAGGGGATTGACGAATGTAATCAAGGACTGCTCATAGTAATGAGGGTTTGTCATGTTTGGTTGGCGCTACTAACGCGTTTTGAGCAACAAAAAATATCTGTTATTCATGCCATGGTGCTCACCTTTGCCATCTTAGTGAACATACATTGAGCATTGTGGATCATTATTGCCTGCTTCGCAGCATCGGGACCCACAGGAACAATATATAGCTAGCACATATTCAGAATTCTAGGTTGTTGGCTTGATCATTATTGAATACTCGAATAACCAGGACAAAAGTCTATTTTGTGAGCTCCAGATATTGTCAAATGATGCAGGACCCCAATTACATTAACCTTGCTGTAATATATGTGCAAGTTAAGAGGCATCATAGTAAATCATAGACATTGCGCGGTGTCAAAGGTTCGACGCGACGATTTTTCGTCTGGTCGTCGGTTTTCCCACGCTGGTGGCAGCGTGAGGCTCGGCTCTCGCCGCTGGCAATAAACAATACCTGTCTCGTCGCTTCACACTTATCGGCCATATGCATTGTGCAATGACAATGGCCCCGGATAGCCGGCCGTATGCAGCTACTACTCCTGCGGAATCGGATGCCAGGGACTTGGGAGATGATCTAACCAAGTGCCCTATGGTGTCATCAGGAGATTAAGCTCCTCGGATGGTGGTGGTCCGAATGCTCTGACCGCATGTCCGCATTCATGATCGGTGTATGCTCCGCATCAATACAACAGTTGGCGCGGTGCTTGGAAATCTACGACAACTGTGACTTCTCAGTATTGACGGTATTGACTTACCAATTTGTCTAGTTCCGGAGTTCAACGTGTTGCGCAGAGCACTCGGAGAAACTGGTCTGGAAGATGGAAAAGTCGAAACGGGAAGATTAATGTTCTGCGGATTCGGCAGCCGTAGTACTGTAGGCATCTAGGCTAGGATGTGTCCGAGGCTACCAAATGCACAGTCCTTCAGTCTCTCCTGTGACCCGCCTTCTGTCACCTTGTACCCATTACTTTCGCAGTTAGTTACTCAACCAATCGGCTGTAGGCATATTCCTCGGGTTGCACACCATAGTAATAGAGGATACACTCATGTCCTCGGCCAAATCATAGAGCGTTCGACGGTACTGATGCACCTCTCTATCTTCCCAGTTTCGAACACTCCGAAGATAGCGCGTCAGGAACAGTCCTTGTATTCAAGACTACAGTACCGAGAAAAATCAAAACACATTCTTCAGACCGCATCATCCGTGAGTGTCCGGAGCATAATACTTTTACTGCTACTACAAGAAGAGAAACCACCATCTGCAGTTAGCGGTTTGATTTTCGGCAAGCCCTCGACTTCACGGCACATAAGGTGGGAGTCCCGACCGTAATACTACTACTGCAAGAGAAATCACTACCTGCAGTTAGCAGATTCCGGCGACCTCTTGATTTCACGGCGCATCGGTTGAAGTTGAAGTTGCACAATCATGATGCATGGGCTTTGTATTTCACATGATCCGTAAGGTAGTCGTGCTTCGCTCCTATCCGATCTCGGGCGTGTATGCTGAAAGAATAAATGTTCCTGCCTGTTGTGCCTCGGTCGGTGCTTCCTCTGCATTGTTCGCTTCATCCGATTGTCCGAGCTGATAGTATGTGAGCTGGCTGCGTGGCGTGGCGTGTCTCGTCTATGCTCTCGCTTCCTACAGACAGGAGCATAAACAGGGCAGCAAGGGCAGCTTTACTAACTAGACGTGTTATGATAACCGCTCCTGCTAAACAGTGTCAACGTCATTCCCAATCATGCATCCTTGACAGACCGCAGTCGTCACATCACATTTAACATAGAACGTGGATTGTCTTCGTTGGAGGGAAGTTAGAGGTCGAGATGACTGATATCCCGGTGGAGTCGCTGAATCCTGTCTCTCGTGCTTCTCACATATCTCAATCTGACTCACTTCTTTCTCTTCCTATACTTCCGGAGCACATAAGCGTCTATCATTTATCGTCAAATTTTGCAGGCAGGGTTCTCAACTTCCTCTTTGTCCCAGCGCCTCACGGAGGTCTGCGCAGCCCGCTGTCAAGGCTGCTCATTATAGCTATGATCCGTATGAAAACGCATAAATTTATAAAGTCTATCTACTCATATTCATGCCATCATTTCTGTCTAACTGTCAGCCTTGATGGCCGTTCCCTCATGTTTTGTTTACCAAGACCATCCATATCTCCATGCACCATGGGAACACTGAACACTGCCAAAGCAAATCAACAGCAACAGTTTTCCAGAACCTGTAAGTGATGAACTTTGCTCAAATACTGTTTGCCTTTATGAGGCGAATCGTATATTGAAGGATATAACTATGTGTGCAAATCTGGAAGACAAGATAGGTCCAATAGGATGATGTCTACTAGTTCTTCTCTTGTACGCGGCCGGAGGAGTTGAGAGCCGGACGAAATACATGATGGATCCGAAACGTTAGGTCGTAACCCTTCTCCTCGACTCGATGAGTTTGCTCTGCTGATTGATACTGAGTCTTCGAGTGAGGTACAAATTACACGTACAATAAAGCTTATCGTACGCTCACTACACGTAAGTAACAATAGTGGTGTGCTTCCGTACAGTCACAGCAGAGCTTTATGGACGTTACATGTGCAGTACAGTATTATTGATTTTGTGAATTGTTATTGTGTATGAGAATAGTTAGCTTTATTTAATATTTATACTTTCAAGTTAGCAGGACAAAATACAGCTTACATAATTGTGTTTGAGCTTGATTACTAAGATAGCCTTCGCTGCATAGTGCGCAATGAACACTGAATACTGGACTGGAACTCGCCATGTCCCCTGTGCATTCAATGCTACTCCTCTTCCTCTTCCTTTAAATCCTGGAATCTAACAGTGTTCCCGAATAACGCGAAGCGAGAACAGCAAAGTCAACGTTTTTACGAGTACCGGGATCAAGTTTGCTGCAGGCAGCTCGCAATACAGTGTATCCGCACACGTCTATGGAACGATTTGCTCAAGAAGCAAGCTCTTCAGATCCCATTCGTCATTGAGTTTCAGGTTATCGTTTCTGTGTTGCTTACTGGTTCCATAAGCTCAAGGCCTGAGAGCTGAAACGCCAGCTCAGAGCCGTAGTCTAGATCGTTCGCGATGCGGAATGAGGTACTGGATACCCGAGACAATCTAGCCTGCACACAGCAGAATCTAGAGTGGGCTGAAGAGTAGAGAAAGGAACTTGTTGTCTCTGCTTGCTTGGTGCGTACATTCCCAATGAGTCGTTTTTGCAAGCGTGATAGCTCATGTTGTTGGCGTCAGAGTTTGCGATCGTTTTTAAAATACTGTTTCCCATACGATTTCTGTCAATTACAATGTCGTCAGGAAAAGGCTTCGCGGTTGAATTTCTGTTCTGAACGTCTCGCCTTGCTCTTACTTGCGTGTCTCCATGCGTGGGGTGGGCCAGGCTAAGTTGTCACGATTATAGCACACGTTTTGAGTAGATCAACTAGTACTGCTCACCTAATGGATAAGAACGTTATATATAGATGTCATTGCAGACGATTTTCGTGAGACATGACTCATGCAATGCACCCATCGCAGGCCTTGCAACCCTATTCGATCTATGTAAACTTGAGATGGTGAGCATTGCAACATCCTTGATACTGTGAATCTTCCCCATTGACAAAAAACTGAGCAGACCCGTGGTCTGAACAATACGATCTGGAGGTTCTCCATCCAATAGAGACAGTGCAACTGCACCCCTTCTTCCACATGTCAATGCGTAATTCCGCCTTGCCAATGCATTGAGTGCCCCCTGCGCCATTCCTGACGAATTACTCACGTTTTACAGAATCCTTGTCGCATGCTTTTCTCACTCGAATCGAGACTGGCTCCCTGTTACTTTAAGCGCTGGAGAAGACAACGCCAAAGCCGTTTGTGAAAAGTGCTCTATATTTCTGTCCACCGTCGAGCGATGTTCCGTGGGATGAATATATTCTGAACATACGGCATAGCATTGATTACGAGAATCGCGAGACAGGTAGCAAGGTAAGTTTAATATAGAAACGTAGAATATCTGTCATACTCACGAGTCCGTAAGCTGCTTGTATCTAACTGGAATATTCCTTCCCGCTCGCTCACTGGCTGTGAGTACAAATCATCAGCATAGTCATGATTTCCGTAGCGTATAATGACAAGTCGAGCTGCACTGATTGTAGGCGGCAGAAAGCCGCTGTTCAGAGCATACCACCCATAACGGCTGCCGCATGCTCGAAACTTTTCATCGGCGCTAAGTATCAGTAAGGCAGATCGTTCTCCTTCGTCTAATCCTCTCCCGGGTTGTTGCAGAGTACGAAGACGTTGTACGCTTATGGCGCAGCAAATCCTGTCGGGTCGAACCAGTCCTAAACGTTTGACAGTCGGTTCGCGCGAAGGATATAACGACGCTGAATAATTCTTCTAAAATGGTTTAGAGGTGTATTTCAACTCCAACGGACACGTACTGCCCCGGGAGGCGCAACCAGACTCCGGTCGGCATTGCTCTGCTGTGAAAACTAGAGAGAGCGATACGTGCACGCAGAAGTCGGCGCTCATTGTTAGCTGCATCCGTGCGCTTCGGTATACGAGATCTATCGTCACTGAAGCACAGCCCCGGCAGATTACCAGGCTTTGTGCAAGTGGTTTCCAGTAGATGCCAGTAGGTGCCAGTAGGCGCTAGTGGAGCGCTCTACCGCATCGAGTCTTCGTCGTTTAGGGTTTTCAAAAGAAAGGTGGATGAGTGCCCTCGGCTCGGAGCGCTGTCTGCTTGCGGATGAATGAACGAATGGAAGCATGCGTCTTCCAGGGTCGTACGACGCCTCGAGCAAACATGTGGCTGGGTTGTGGCCGACATATGCTTTGTCGAAGCGCAAAGAATAGGAGAGGGGACGCGACTTGTTGTCGAAGCGCAAAAATTCCTAGTACCAGATCTGGGGTGAATCTCCATGTTCGATTTAGAGGAATTTCTATTCTAATCGATCGCTTTGACTTCCAAATCCCGTGCGTATTGTTTGTTGTACTTGACAAAGTCCTTTGGTTCATAAATTTCACGCTTTATTTTCCTTCCTCCACCTCCCCTCCCCCCCTACTCCGCTATCCTCTACCTCTATCTACAACCTTCCGCTGTCTTCCTTTCTTGTTCCTACAATGGAACAAGGACATTCTTCGACATCCTCTTTTTATTATCCACAGACTCCCTTTTGTGGTTCATTGTAAGTAGTCTCGGTCGTTCAAAATGCAATGTGGCTAACTCCCGGCTAGCAGCCAAAGCGGACATTCGTCCACAGACGATTATTCTCTAGTGGTACCATCGGAAGACCGGGAGACAACTAACGGACCTAATTTCGACAACAAAAATAACTGTACAAACGGCTACGAACAAGAAGATGAAGTGGATCTTAGCCAATGGTGTACTGTTTTCGACCCCCCAAAGACACAGGAAAATTCAAAGTAGGTTGCTTTCCCCTTTTCTAAGGGCTAAAGCTTAACCGTGCACAGTGATAT